TCCTTGATTTGATTTAAAAAAAAATACTTTTAGGTCACCTGAGTCACTCAGGTGACCTATTGCTATCCCTTTTCGTCCGTTGTCGTGCACCGTCCGTCATTCGCCGTTCGTAAACTTTTGAACATTTTCAGCTTCTTCTCTGGAACCAGCAAACCAATTTCAACCAATTTTGGCATATAGCATCTATGGGTGAAGGGGAACAAAAATTGTGAAATTCGTGGCCCCTGCCCCCCTGGGGCCTGAGGGGTGGGGACAAAACCATCAAAATTAATGCAATCTTTAAAAATCTTTTTCTTTACTCCTGGACATCAAGCAGTCAAACTGTTGGTATGATTGTAATAAGCATTGAGCCCTCCACCAAAATTGTGAAATTCATGGCCCCAGGGTCAGGGGTTCTGGTGCTAGGGTGGGGCTATATAGATCAAATAGTGAAAGTGCATTATTTCTTTGAAAATCTTCTTCTCTACTCCTGGGTATTTTTGAAACAAATTGAATACATAGTTATGATAAGCAAGAGTGACTCTACCAAAATTGTGAAATTCATAGCCCCAGGGTCAGGGGTTCTGGTGCTAGGGCGGGGCTTTATAGATCATATAGTGAAAGTGCATTATTTCTTTGAAAATCTTCTTCTCTACTCCTGGGTATTATTTAAACAAATGCATAGTTATGATAAGCAAGGATGCCTCTTCCAAAATTGTGAATTTCATGATCAGAGGTTCTGATGTTAGGGCGGGGCTCTATTACTTATAGAGTGAAAATGCATTAATGCTTTAAAAATCTTCTCTGCACCTGGGCATATCAGAGGCAAAAAGAGTAAAAGTTTTAATAAGGAAGGGTATTTTTACCAGATTTTTGAACATCAGGACCATTTGGTCAAGTGTTCTGGTCCAGGCCAGGGCTCTATTAATTTGTATTCTACTGAGAGGAGTTATTCCCCCTTTGCCATTTACTTGTGATAATTAATCACTGTAAATAATGTACTTGAAAGGTTAATAGAATAAGAGAATTATGCAAGAATTTTTATTGTATAAAACAAAAAGTACTTTCATAGTTTTAATGATCAGGTAGACTTGTAAGTAATAGATAAATAAAAATGAGACAAAAATAACTTGTCTTATTAAATGTTCATCAAAGACCAAGAGAGGCCAATGTAAGAGATTTCAACAAGGAATTAAAAGAGTACAGAAGCAGTGATTAGTTTGTTTACATACTGTCTGGTGAGAGTGATAAGTGGGGAACAGATTAGAACTTATTTTATGAACTGTTAATGAATACTAGACTAATAATATTGTTGATCCTGATCACCCTATTTTTCTTGCCTTTGGGCAACTAAGCTTCACCTTTCAGTTCATTTTATACTCTATGGATCCTCTAAATTGGTGTATTATACTCAGGTGACCGTTAAGGCCCTTTGGCCTCTTGTTATTCAATAATTAGGAATCCAAGTCTTCGAGCCTCACCCAGTGTATATTTAAGCAACGCACAGTGAGAAAGCAATTCTGTCATGTGCTGAGAAAATCGTTTTATGAAGATATAAAGCTATTTCCTTATTGGTATTGATTGTTTTTATCCTGGACAAAGACATTTGAATATTTAAAACCCAAGGCTTTTTTTTCTTTTGATATACATTGATATACAAGAAAAGTTATCAAAGAGGAAAGATAAACATTAAGATACAATGCAG